TCCATGACATGAAAATGTCAACAGGAGGGTTACACAATGACAGACTAGCTTTTCTGACAGTGGAGCCTTCAAAGCCCCTGCTGCTCTGTCTGGATCTCTCCATCTTGCAGGGAAGGAAAATAAAGCACCAGAAGTTCTATGAGCCAGCTTCTAACTTCTGGCTGACATGAGGCTGAAGTGTCATTTTCAGAGGTTCACTTAACTCCTGGACCATGGCCCATCTCTTTTGGATGGTTGCCCTAACAACAGCAAAAGGAGACAGGAAACCAGACATAGTCAGGAAGCCATAGCAAATGGATGATGGCTGTTGACTGAACTGGGTTAGCAGTATTGGTTGAATTAAAGAGAAGGGTTGGATCTTGAGATAGTCAATCAATAGAAGTTAACAATTTAATCTAGCAGGGGTATTTTAATTATTTATTTATATCTTTTATCACAATCATTTATTAATATTTTAACATTCAGAATAATGAGTTTCACTATATTTCATATATACATCATTTTACTTTGCTTATGTTACCCCGCAACACACACACACACACACACACACACACACAGTTCTTCTCTACACTCATCCCCACAATGATCCTGTTCCATGCCCTTGCAAATATATTTTAAAAAATATATATGTGTATACATATATATATATATAGAGAGAGAGATACAGAGAGAGAGAGAAAGACAGAGAGCATGCAAGCATGCATGTGCCACAGACTGTGTATGAGAGGGCCTGCACATGGAGAACAACTACAGAGTTAGTTCTCTCCTATCTTTACATTAGTTTCAGGGATCAAACTCAGATCATCAGTCTTGCAAGGTAACTTAACCAAAGAGCCACTTCTCCATCTCAGATGTATTTTAAAAAGATGACTGGGGTATAGCATTGGTATCCATGGAGATGAGGTCTTTACATTTGTTGACGGAAAACTGATGAACATTTGAACTTTTCTTTAGGCATTTTGAGTGTGATGCATCAATGCGAAGCAAGTGAAGATCTCCAACGTCCAGTTGGAAACTCGAGGGTGAAGATGGAAGTTCATCAGGGCCAGAAAAAGGCTGTAAAGCCTGTCCTTACAAGCTACCATGGCCTTATCATACAGTCAAATGGTTGGAGTTCTCAAGGGAGTTAGCATGGAAGCATAGACTGATCTCAGAACTTTGAACACTATCTGCATTTGAGGGTTGAGATGGAAAAGACTTTGCAGAAGTGAAAGATCTGGAAGTTTAGGCAAGTCAAGCATAAGCTTCCTGTTACCTTCACAGTATCCAACATTTGGAATCTGTCCATAGTTAGGTCAGGAAAGTAAGAAGGAAACTGGGAACACAGAGCTGTACATTAAGATACAATACGATGCTGACAATATATAGGATGAAAATAGTGAATGGCTAGCAGATGTCTTAAAAACACGCCAGCAGTATTGGGTGGCATAAGCCTTATTTAAGCCCAGAACTCTTGAGGGAGAGGCAGGCATATTTCTATCAGGGCCAGTATGATCTACATAGAAGTCAGACAGTAAACATCCATCTAAAAATCAAATCAAATCAAATCAAAACAAACCATTAATAGACTTTTATACATTCCCTCACATTTCCTGGTTTTGCTCATGTATTACATAAGACATTTTCTTAATATTAGTCATTGATATATTCTGTATTTTTTCTAAGGGAATGAAAGAATACTGTGTTTTCAAAGCCTATTTTATAATTTCAGAAGGCCCATGGGCTATAAGTTACAAAAATCACTATCTAGCTAATAAATTCAACATATGAAACAGTAATAACAATATTTGCCATCAGATTTTGAGAACTAATCAAAAAGAAGTATGATGGGGTCCAAGTCTGAGGGGGAAATTGGACATGAGCCCCCATCCCTAATGCAGAAGCTAGCTCCCATTGACAGCTGCCTGCAAAGAAAAAAATAAGTTTTCTGTGATGGAGTTTCACTGGGTATACAAACCACACTTAAGGGTAGGTCCTATGCCCAGCAGTAGATGCCAACACAAAATGAACTCAGTGGAGCTTTAGGAGTTTTGTCTTTAATGATTTCTTTGGGCATTTTTTATACCCTACTGGTCTTTGGCATGTATACTCTGGTTTCTGATTTTCTGTTTTTATGGTGCAGCGTGCGTTTGTTTTTAGACTATCCTGATGGCTCAAATATTTCTGTCTACATTTTCATAGGTAACCTTCTCTTCAACACTAAGCTTTCTTAAGAGTTCTCCTGGTGGCCAGATATGTTTTTTTTTCTTGAGGCTTCAGGATTTGCCTGGTTGGAATGCTTATAAAAACATCTGTGGATAGCCCAAACATTTTTTAAATAACATTTGCTTGGAAAATTTTTACTAGTAGTTAGGACACATTATTTAAACATATTTCAAAATATTTATGTGTCCCTGCAATCCTTTGGCGGTGCCTGCAGTGTGAGGCTGAATTGATGGTTCTGTAGTTCAGTCTTTTTGTTTGTTTGCTTTGGTCATTCAGTGTGGTTGATTGATGAATGCTTGATAGAATTTCCACACAGCTGACTTGATTAGCTCAAATAGTAAGGTGGCTCTACCAACAGGGGGTTTGGGAACTTTCTTTTCAGAGAAGTGAATTTAATAAACAAGTGAGATTAATTTTACCATAATCTTGTCAGATGACGAATTTTTGGTTGCTGGTTCAGCTCTTTCCTCCCTCTCCTCCCCAACGGTAATTCATAAAGTGATGAATTCATTTCTGTTATTTTGTGTTACTATTTAGTAACAGATATAGCTCTGGTGTGACCTGTGGTTCTTTCTATGGGACTCACACTAATTTTGAAAGATTTAAAAATTTCCATTAGTAGGTTTAAAGAGAGAAAGAAAATGTATAACTTACTTGTGCATTTAATTAGAATAGCCAAATGAAACTTTGGGGAATGTTTGTGTGTGTTTTCTTAACAGGACTTTAAAAAAAGTTTCAAAAATAAAGACAGAAACAAGTCTATAATTATATCTGGGCCTCAATTTTAATTTAGCTGAGCTGCAAAGGCATGGGAAGAAATATTTACTTTGACTCTGCCTCCTAGAGGTAACAATATCACATAAGATCTCTCTCTCTCTCTCTCTCTCTCTCTCTCTCTCTCTCTCTCCTCTCTCTCTCTCTCTCTCTCTCTCTCCCAGTAACTATTAATTACTAGTAACTTCTCAGCTTCATCATGCTCACATCCTCACTCCATGCTTGAATTTTGTCTGACTTGGGCTTCTTCAGGTCTTGTTCTCACTGTCACAACTGTTTGAGATACGTTCAGTTGATATCTTCAATTGCCCTATCATGTCTGAAAAAATCTGTTTCCTTGTAGTCATGTATTATCTCTGGCTCTTACAATCTTTCTTCTCCCTCCTTTGAAATGATTCCTAAGCCTTGGAGGTGAGGGTTGTGGGTATAGAAGTTCCGTTTTGGGCTGAGCAATCCAGTCAGTTATTCCCTGTGCCATGACTAGTTGTGGGTCTTTGCAGTAGTTTCTATGTTCCTATAAATGTAATGAGAATTAGTTAGGAGTCATTTTAATATTGTGTCCCATTAGAAGAACAAGAGAATAATAGTAGTAGTTTCTCCCCTAAAACCTGTGACCTGTCCAGTCACAGGTTCTTGACCCAGATAGCTGTGCCAGGTATTGGTTCCATCTTGTGGAGTTGATATTAAATCCAAACAGAAGATGTTTTGTTACTACCATGACATTTATGCCACTATTGCACTAGCGAGTGTGTCTTGTCAGTCTAGTCAATACTTATCTAACAAGGCTCATGTCTGGATACGATTGATGATTACTTTTCTCCTCAAGTAGCATGCACATCACCTTCTAGCACTATGAAAGCTAACCAATAGGGATGAAACTTCTGGGCCAATACTAGTTTGATTTCTCCGTATTCTATATGATACATTCAACAACAGGGCCTTACTGCCACATTCTAGGGGATGACACAGCTAGTTCTCAAAGGAAGACACGTGGTAGAGTGTTTGCCAAGCATGTTTAAGATTCAGGTTCAATTCCTCAGGACTAAAAGAAAAAAAAGACACAAAATAAAAACTGGAGAAAAGGGAATACTTAAACATTATTTGTAGGAGGGTAAATTAAAATAATGAAATTTATATATTAAATATCAGATTACTAGAGGTATCAATTATGGAAAAAATAGTTCCAATAGGATTTATTATGTACCAGTGACTCAACATTTCAGGAAGTTCTTATTTTAAGTATATATAAATTTATACTCAACAATTTTGCTTTAGGAATTTGTCCCAAGAAATAACTAGAAAAACACACCATTGGCTATTTCAGATTTTCTGTTAGGACTATACCTAGAAATAAATGTCCTTCAGTGGGGCACAGAACAAGCAAATTATGTTATATCAAATATAGTATTGTGTAGATCTATTGTTGAAGAAATTGTGGACTATTGATCCCAGGAAAAATTTACTTCCATATTATGTTGATAACCAAATGGGTATAAAATGTACATACTGGGCTAAATATTTTATTTATTCAAGCAATATAAAGAGATCTTGTATTAACCATGTGCCAAGTTTTATAAAGGTACCATAGACATATTCACATTATTTTCTGTAGCACTTAGATGAAACAATTGCCTTTTCTATATTTTGGATTTCAAAAGCAAGAATTATGGAAAGATAAGAAACTCACATTAGTTTGAGAAGCTTTTTGTTATTTTTTTATTTTCAAATTTTATATTATGTGTATAGTTTGTTTTGTCTATATACATATGTCTGTGTACCATTTGTATATCCATGGATACCAGAAGATGTTTGATTTTTGAGAACTGGCGTTATAGACAGTTGTAAGTCATTTGTGGGTGCTAGGGATTGAATCTGGGTCCTCTGGAAGATCAGCCAGGGCTCTGAGCCATCTCTAAGGTGCTGAGTTAAATTATAAGTCAGATGAATGATTTTCTTTTGTTTTTGAAATACTAAATATTGATAACTTTTCATACTTTTGTCTTTCTTCACCCCACCTTTAGGGGAAAGCTCACAGTGTAAATCATGTTGCTCTACAGATGCCAATTCCTCCTCCCTAAGGTAATTTTCTTGATAACCTTAGAAATTCTGTACTTTGGCACCTATTTGTCTTAATGAGTTGTCAAGGAAAAATATTTGTTTAAATCTTTTTAGAAAAACAGGCAAGAAAAAAGATTAAGCCCCTCACATATCAGAATGTCACTGCAAAGAGTCTGAGTCAATATAATCTGAATCAATAAATATGAATCTTAGTTTACTCATTGGGTATTGGCACTGATATCAATAAAATGAAACTTCATATTAAAATCTTTAGTATAATCCAACTACAACTTAATATACAAAGATTTACCTGAAGAACTATTTCCCAGTGTGGATTCCTGGACTTCAGGGTTCTCATTCTGCAGGTGTGCAATAGGCATAACATCAGCATTTTGATCATCTTCAGAGATTATCCTAATGTATAAGGATCCCATTTTTTTATTGCAGTGGTTCCATTCCTTAAATTATACCTGCTAGATTCATTTCTAGGAGGATCTTTTGTTTTTTAAAGGCAAGTTTATTGAAGGGGTCATGGGAGTTATTTAGGAAGAGGGGGCAGTTCAGAAGCAGATCTACATTTCATCTCAAGACCTTTTAGCTTTCTAGACTACAACTCGGAGCCAACATAATAATGAGCCACCAATGTTTACTTTCATCAAATAAAAATTGGCACACCTTTTCCCCAAAGAATGGCATTAATATTTATAAATTTCCTCTCTCTTGTTATTTTATAATAATAGGTGGATTGTATGAATGCCCAGGAACATTGTAATAAACCTGTGACAATGGAAGCAGAAGACACAGAGTGCAACAGAAGCAGAATCCTGATCAATGACAGCAGCTACATAGTGTAAACAAAAGACTATTGCAGGGCACTTAGACGTCATCAGAATATCATATCCGTGCGTCGTAAAGAGATAAAAGAAATAAAGTAAGCCTATCAGCTATCTTAGAACTTTGAATATTAACTCTGAACCTTCTGAAAAGAAGGGAATATGAAGGAAGACCTTCATAATAACTCCATAGTATGTCACATTCTCCCCATACCTGTACCCACATTTATTGCCATCACACCCTAATAGACTCAGTAGCTGCTTTTATGGAAACCAAAAGGAGAATAGTCTATGACTGGTCCAAACATAGTTCTTCATTTACGTGAGTGATGACAGATTGGTGCAGGCATCTTCCTTCTGGCTGTACAAACAGGCACACTCCTGTGCTACCCACCCCCATGCTACAACATTGGCCCCTATAAAAGATGTTTTGAGTAGTCGTTTCTTCTCCATATTTAGTCTTTATCATTAGTATGTGGGTGGGACCTAGTAACAGCAGAAATTGGAAGAAGTAGCATCAGAGATGTAGTAGCACATAACAAATATGGTAGCATTAGTGAAGCAGCAGCAGAGATAGCTACAGTGTGACCAGAGGACACTGAAGGGTTCCGGAGAGTGGAGGGGTAGAGATGATTGGGAGTAGAGGTAATTAAAACAAGGGCTATGTGGGACCGAAGAAGAGAAACAATGAGTCCTGCTTACCCAAAGTGTTACAGAGAGCTGACAAAGTTCAATGGCCAATGGTCTCAAATACCTTGGGCTAGGAAACTATTATGCCTACATGGTTGAGGTGCTTCAGATATATAGTGAGAGATATCATACCAGAAGGAATTTCAGACTGCTCCTATCTGCTTTCACCCCTCTATATGGCTGAGAGCTAAGAATACTACCTGTGAAATTCTGGGGCCATTGGTGGTAAAAGTCCAGAGTGATATAACCATCCAACCAGAATACCTAGAGCTGAAGCCCTGGCTTCCAAAGCATAGAATTGTAAGCCTCTAGATCTGTCATCCAGACCCTAGGCCTTAGACTGAGCCTAAGGATCGTCAACAAGCTTGTTCTTGGTTACCCACAATATCTTTTCAGGTAGAGGAAAAGAACCTTAGCCAATTGACTGGTAACAATGCTTCCTCTTGTTTCATGTTCCTTCTAAAGTACACTTCTCAGCTATGCTGCCTCCCTGGAACATTTGCAACTGGAATAAAAACTCAGGGAAGGGAGGCTATTACTCATTGTTAAATTCCAAATATCCAGTTCAATACTTGACACAAAATAAGCATCTCTTATTTAGTTCTTTTTTTTGTGATACATTGTTTCACATAGCTCAAGGTGGCCCAAAAATCACTAAGAAGAATATGTAATAGTGAAGCATGACCTTGGATTTCCTGTCTTTCTGCCTCTACCTCCTAAGTGTTGGGATTGTAGGAATATGCTATCACTATGCTTAATTTATGGGGTACTGCTGTAGATTGAATCTTGTACACGCTAGGCTAGTACACTATCAAATTGCATTTTCAACCCAGTTAATAGTTCTTCAAGGCATGAATGGAGAAGTATGTAGTCAATCACTGGCACCAAAAAAATGAAAAGGAAGAAAAAGAAAAAATATGAAATCAAATAGATACAATAAGCACCATAAACCAGTTATTAAAACCGTAATAGGAGATAGGATGGGTCATCAATTGGAGACAGAATTTCAGCTATTCTACTATACTCCTAATTATTTATATTACTAATCATTTGTATGTGAAGATCACTCCAATTTTGAAGTCAAAAGCCATTCCCATAAAGTTACAGGTGAAAAAGTCACAGTAAAGTAGATTGGATATTCCTTGTGTGTCTCAGTTATTCCCAAACCTCATGACAATGGCACATGGGTAGTTACTAGAATTTTGGAGATGCTAAGGTAAGCATCCTGACAGATGGCATATTGCTGTTACTACAGAGTTGCTATAGATTTGTATAACTTTAGGAAGGAAATATACTGTATATCTCATAATATATCAACTGACCAAATGACTTGCTTATCATTTTTAATCCTGTTCCCAAGAGATAGAGGCACAAAACATCCCCAAAAGCTTTATATAATGGGAGTGGAGTTGAGAAATCTTATGATTCACAAAGGCAAAGGAGTATACATTTTCTAATGTGCATGTGTATGTGTGTGTATGTGTTCACATATATGTGTGAGTACAGATACCTGTGTGTGTTCTTGTGGACATGGGTCAGAGGACAACCCAAGGTGTCTCAAAAACACATTCCTTCTCCTTTGAAACAGAGTTTCTATTGGCCTGGAGCTCACCAAGTAAGTTAGACTGGCTGGCCATGGAAACCCAGAGATCCTCCTGTCTTTGTGTCTGCAGTGCTGGCTCACCACACCCAGTATTTTTAAAAGGATACTGAGAAATTAAATTCAGATATTCATATGGTTTTCCAACTGAGCTATACCCCCTTCTTCATTAGGGTTTTCAACACCATGACCATGGAACTTTTATAAAGGAAACATTTATAAGTGTAGCTCACTTACACTTTCAGAAGTTCAGTCCATTATCATCATGGCAGGAACATGGCAGTGTGTAGGCAGATGTGGTGCTGGAGCTAAGAAGCCTTACATCTTGACTCAGAGACTATAGGAAGTCAACTGACAGTTAAACTAAGGGAAGTTTGAATAAAACGGACCTCAAAATCTGCCCCCATAGCAGTAACACACTTCCTCCAACAAAGGCACACCTCCTAATAATGTTACTCTCTTTGGGGCCACATTCTTTTACACCAGCACACACACACACACACACACATACACACACACACACACACATGACTCCCATACCCCACAGTCATCTATACATACTTTAGCACACTTCTTCTATTCACAGTTTCAGTTCTGAGGAATAGCAGCTATGGCTACTGCTGTTGTAAAGGCATGTGTATATCCTAGGTATTAGATTTTCATATTCTCAGAAGTATATATTACTCAATTCTTTGGGTTTTCCCCCCTTATCTTACTGTGGTGGTTTCAAAGAAAAAGATTCCCAAAGGGAGTGACATTTTTAGGAGCTGTGACCTTGTTGAAGTAGGTATGACCTTGTTGGAGGAAGTATGTCACTGTGGGGCGTGGGCTTTGAGGCCTCTTTTGCTCAAGCTTTGCTCAGTATAATAAACAGTTCTCTTCCTGTTGCCTTCAAGATGTAGAGTTTCAACTAACTCTCCAGTACCATGTCTGCCTGTATGCCACCAGGCTCCTTATCATAATGATAATGGACTGAACCTCTGGCTGAAAATATCTGAATTTAATTTCTCATCCTCTGTAAGCGAGCCACCCCAATTAAATGTTTTCCTTATAGAAGTTGCTGTGGTCATGGTGTTTTTTCACAGCAACAGAAACCTAAGACACTTATCCAGACACAAGCTCCAACAGCCTTTCTCCTGTCGATTTAATTCTATAGCACTACAAACCACAGAAAACTAAACTTGTCATTATTTTAATTGCTCAGATTTGCAGGTAGGGAGCGTCTGGAAATAGTCTTTGGTTTCCAATCTGTCATTTCGTGTCCCAGGCAGAACTATCAGCACCTGTTTCTGCAGTAAGGAGCAATATGCCCAGTAATGCTCAACATATGTAGCCTGTTCATGTGCCAGATTCTGTTTCCTTTCTGGCTTGACATGCAACTTCCTGCTGAGGCAATAGATTTGGCTTAGTCTCCAAGCCATTTACCTGGTACTTGGTCTTCTCACCCCACCCTACCTCCTTAGTTTGGAAGCTGGGAGCTGGGCCTGTTTTGAGGGTCATTTCAAATTGGATTAAGCTAACTGCCTTTAATCCCATCACTTTGGGAGGCAGAGGCAGGCAGATCTCTGAGAATTTGAGGTCAACCTGGGTTACAGAGTGATTCTAGCACGGTCAGGGCTAAACAGAGAAACCCTGCCTTGAAATAACCAAAACAAACATCAAAAAAAAAAAGAAAGAAAACAAAACAAAAAGCAACCTAAAAACCTCCAACACAAAAACAAAAGCATAAAGAAACAATAAAAAACCCAAAACAAAAATAAACAACAGTCAAAGCCAAAAAAGTAATAGTAATATAGTATTACTATGATACTACTACTCAAAGATCCTTCTTATAGTAATCTGTCCTCTTAGGTGATATCCCCTGAATATTAGCATAAACCTCAACTGATCAAATGTATATTCCTTTTTAAGGAGCAACATTACTGTCAAAAATAGTTCCCTCAGACTCAGTTCTATTGTCTCTTTTTTCTTAGTATGACAGCATGGTATTCCTGAGTGCAAAGTCCACATGTGCTAGGACAAATCCAAACATCTGTAAACAGAATGGCATAATGAAAATAATTGTGTGCTACTGAATCATAGAACTTCTGAAATTATTAGAAAGCTGAATGCCCTAAGAATGCGGGTAAGATTTTTATGAAAGGGTGAGTTAGGTATGACTGTGCTCAGAATTCCTAGAAGATTTCAATCTAGTGCTTTGTACTTGGGTGTTTTCTCAGTTGGACAAGATAGCAGTAAAGTTAGCCTCATTGATTTATTATCAACAAAAAATGGAGGAATAAAGAGAGGACAAGGATGGACATTCTTTGATAGAAACTGACTGTCAGCTGAGTTCCTACACAGAACTCTAGAGTACATATAAAATACACATAGACTGCTAGAATATTAACAAAGAGTAAAGTTGATAACACAAATAAAAATAATTGGATGAAGGAAGTATAATAATCTATAGTTGGGCTAGTCTAAGGGCATGGGCTTTTCAATTTCAATAGAACTGTAAAATGTTAAAATGTTTGTTTTCCCTAGAGGAAAACGATCAGTTAGTACTAGATTTCAGGAAATCACAATCATCAAGAAGTATCTGCCACTGTTAATGAGTGAATGAAGGGCCATTTGGAAGACTATGTTTATACTCTTTGGAATGTGGACAAGCAGGAAATGAAAAGATTCAAGTAGTCACCAGTGCATAGGGTTTTTTTTCCTCAAATAGTGTATAAGATTCGATCAGATGACAATGATCAACATTTTATTATAACATAGTAAAGATGTAGAAACATAATCAGATTCCTAATTGGGTGTTTTTAAACTTAGAATTATATATGTACATATGAAATATGTATTATATATAAATGTATAATGCATTAAATATACAATTATATATGTGCATATATAAATTAATATGTATGTATATTAGATGAATTTTATGGAATTTACTTAAACAGGTACACTCTTTTGTTGCCATGGTTTTATTACCCTTCCATTATCAGAAAGCAAAATTAGTCTGTTTGAGCACATGAACAGTACCACAGCAAGCTATACGACCTTCTTTAAGAAATTTTTAGAATTAAATAAAGACATGAATATATGTTTATTTGTTTAACAAGGTGACTATTCAATACCAGGAACTGTATAAG